CAGCCTAAAGACCGAGGAAAATCTCTTATTTCTTCTGTTTCTTTTCATCCTGATTTTGATTTTTCAAAGTTATAAACCACTTTGTAGATTCATTTGACCTAGCTATTAACAATTTTTTCTTTTGTATCAACAAGAAAAATGAAGCTCCATTCAGTGATTCTAGTTCAAGTGAATGTACCAGATACTGAAGGGTAGAAGGACAATACAACTACCTCCTCACTTTTCTTTAGGCTGCCCAGAGAAAAAAAAGGCAGAATATTTGTTCACCATCTACAGGAATGACTGCTCATGAGATAAAAGATCAGCCTTCAGTACCACCTTTTGAAGATTTTTGTCATATATATATACAAGATTGGTTATCAGGTGTATGTGTATTAGGCATGATAAATTTAAGGACATACACTATTAGTCATAAGTTCAAGTCCAGATTTTTATATTCACATAAGGGCTCTTATGTGCCTCTTAAATCACAAGGCAGCAACTTCTCAGATAACATTGATAATTTAAACAATGTGATTTATGTCTATTCTGCAAATCCAATGATAGATAATAATAAAGTGTATTTTCCAGCACTATACAAAACAAAATCATATTATACAACACATAACTAGGAAAGTTATATTTGCATATATAGATACATGCTGTGCTAAAGCCCAGCAACTCTAGTAGGGAGAATTTACTAGGCTCTGTTGAGTTCAAGGAATCCATAAGCTGTTGCAAAAGTTTTAAGGAAAGCCAAAAATCAAAATTCTGTTTTCAATAACCTTAAAAATCTCAGTTCATCACTCAAGAACAGTAAAAACCTTCTCTGGACATCAAGATATTTGAGAATGGGTTTTCACAGAAACAGTTTTGACAGCATGTATCGTTACAATCTTAACCAAAAAAGACATAACATTTGCTATAAACCACATAGGTATATGCAGCCTAAAGCAGGTGCTTTGTCGGTCTGAATCACCTCACCATTTAATTTTCAGTTCTTATCTGTAAAACATTTCCAGTTGTTTACAGGATGTATGACACCCACATTTAGAATCTTACGAAGAGTTTTGCTTTCCACACGTCAAAAGGATATAATAGATCTGAAAATGGCCAACACAAATGAAACTGCATTCTTATCAGCAACAATTAAAGAAATTGGGATACTTCAGCCTCAAAAAAAAAAATTAAGGAGGTATGATACATGCTCCCATTATGAGTGGCACAGAGAAGATGGACAGTAAATGATTTTTCATTGTCTTTCATAACAAAAATTATGATCAAAGAAACTGTTCGGTAGCAAGCTTCAAAACAAAAGGAGGAACTTCCTTATACACCTCACAGTAATGCTGTGGAATTCTGTCACATAGCATCATGGATGCTAAAAGCTCACATTGATTCAAAAAGTCCTTAGAGACATTCATGTGAGAAAGGAGGAAAAAAAACAAAACAAAACAACAACAAAAAACCATCAGGGCTATTCAACACAAACATATCATGTTTGCCTCTGAGAGCTCCTACCAGAAATCACTGGAGGATGGGTGACTGTATCACTATCTGCTTATCCTGTTCTGACGTATCCACAGGCATTTGCTGCCCACTACCATTAAAATAAAATAGTGACCTAACTAGACTTTTGGTATGAACACTGTTTTATTTTCATAGAAGACACAGCGGAACAAAGGCTTAAAAAAAGTGTTCAAAGACAAGGAGGTGTAAACTGATCAGTTGTGAACATGCCATATAGATATATATATATGTGTATATATACATATTTATTTATTTACTTATTTTTATATTTATATATATGAACAATTTTTTTATGTTTCTGCGCAGGTCAAATATTTCATTACAGTAAGTAGCAATCTCTATCTCCAACACCTTGAGAATTAACACATAGCCAGTTCTTCATTATAGCCCTCAAATCAAATGGGAAATCATTGTTTTACAACACAAAAAAAGCAATAGCAGCTGACATTATCAGCAGGATTCAGTCAGCACACATTATAGAAAAAGCTGATTAGATAATTAGATGCAGTCCAAAATCCAAGAAAAGACTATTAACTCTATTCATGAACACCAAGATGTATACATGACACAAAGCTAAATCAAACAGGAATGCTTAAAATATGTAAAAGATTTAAAATATTACTAACATTTAGTCTTCCTAAATAGAATGCACATAAACAGTTAATTTTTCTACCTATGCATTTTCCTGTGGGCTAAGAAAAAAAGATCTCAGAGACAGATTCATTCTTAGACATGAAGCAAGTTTTTTATATACACACACAAATAAAATGTAAATGAGTATTTGCAAGATTCCCTGAAAGAAAACAAGGAAACCCAGAACAAAATTCCTACATGGATAAAACTCTCATTGATGTTTTTACTCGGCCTAGTATCTTCCATCAACCCTGTAAGTGTAGACAATATGGAATCAAGAGGACAATCTCTCTCTCACAAATACAAATTTCACTGATGCCAGAATGGTACTGTACATGTAGCTAACTCCTGCAAGTAATCAGAACCATACAGTAACTATTGTTCTGTATGAATGGAATATAAATACCAGTTCCAGTTCTAATCGTGGAAGCACTACTTTTATCTCCAGTGAAATTCTGCACTGACTTGCCAATGGTATAATGGTTTTTAAGGTGTTTCAGGACTCTTTCATATCTGGTAAAGAAACAGCATCTCATCTTATAGGGAGTGTGCTGGTAAGGCAGTTACATGTCTTACTATGGAACAAAAATGAACTTTCAGAACCCTTCTCTAAATGGGTATCCAGCCATTTTAGATGTGACACTTCACAGATCCTGCTTAGACCTTGCATGCTGGAGGCTACAGGAAAAGATGATTTACCCATGACCTGGTTTCTTAATCTCCAGGTGCATAACTGGGATATGGAGCAAAACTTTCATTTTACTGTAGGAAATAGCAAAACAAGTAGAAAGACTTTAACAATAGCACCAGCAAAGCAGTCTTCTAGTATTGTCTGTCACACACGGCAAAAGCATATGACGGCAAGACTTTTTATAACATTCCCTACTTTTGAGAATCCAAGATGAACCTTGTGACCCAATCTGTCAAACACTCACTACAAACAGTTCATGCTCACATAGATCGTGAGTTGACAAAACAAATTCTGGTTTGCACAGTGTACTTGTTCATATCTACAGTGTGAAATTTATTTTAACACAAATGTATAATAATATGCAATTATGTTTAACAGTTTTACTACTGAGATGGCATCTCACAAACAAATTAGTCTGCCACAATCCAAAGGAGCTCCTCTTGTTGTCAGTACAACCTAAGACGCAGCACATGAGCCTTATTAGTAAGCTGGCAGAGAGCCGTATTTCCTTTTCACTGTGTAAATTAAACCTACAGGACTGATTTATAGTAAGACTGCATCCTTCAAAGCAGGACACTGGGCTCTGACTAGAAATTCTGTCTTTTTTCTAAAGGAAAAGGTCTCTTTCTACAGCAGCACATGGCATTCACATGATTCACAGACAGAAGTGACCTGCAGGAAGGTCTCAATGCTCTTCAGACTCATTAACAAAACCAAACTAAAGCCAGTCTACAAAAAAAAAAAATGAAACCTCTATAAAAGTAATTGAATTTGTGTGTTTCATACGTGTGTTTGTATACACACACACACACATATAGATGCCTACCGCCTCCCCATGAATTGTATATGAAATACCCATAATATTTACAAATATTAATTTGGTGCTATTAAATCTGAGATCAACCAGCACATTCCTCTGAAAACAGAATAGGAGATCTTATTTCAAAATCAAGCTATTTTCTACAAACACAACACTACAGGAATTTAAAGTGAATTACAAGTATATTATGAAAAGTCTGAGAGGCTTGACACTGACATTAAGTCTTTGACCTGGTTACCAAGGCCTTTGGGCTCCACGTCAAACCAGGAACTACTTTAGCAGTTTCAGACTCAACAGAGATCTGTTTAACTCTGAACCTGCAGCTAGAAACAAGTACCATGAAAACTACACCACTGTGATTTCATCAACTATGAAATCAAAATAGTGGTCAAACAGGCTACCCTCAGAATTTCATGTAATTCCAGTTTCTCTCAGAATCCCTCACTCCTCAATGGGATTGTACTGCCTAATAACTGGAAAATCATTAGAATTTCATAGAATCACAGAATGGTTTGGGTTGGAAGGGACCTTAAAAATCATCTAGTTCCAACCGCCCTGCCATGAGCAGGGACACTTTCCACTAGACCAGGTTGCTCAAAGCCTCATCCAGACTGGCCTTAAACACTTCCAGGGAGGGGGCATCCACAACTTCCACAGTTTAATGGCACTAGGATGATTTATTGCCTATACCACTAACAGTAAGCTAATTCACACATCCCTTTACCTCATCACATTATCATAGGATCTAAGGAAATCTGAAGGTAATAAAGTAACAGGCATAAGCCTAGGAAATTGGTGGTAATTATCTGATTTTAAATGAAATTAAATTATTCCTCAATTCCTACAGTATGGCAGAAGAATTAAAAAAAAAAAAAAAAAAAAAATTATTCTCCCAAAGCAATCCTGAAAGTGAAAGACTCTGAAATTCAGATGAAAGTAAAATGGTTAAAATTTAAGCAGGGAACCGCTTAATTAATAGGTCTAAGATTCCTGTTTCCCTTGGGAATATGGACTGGCAACCCAGAAGTATCATTTGCAGCTTTTAATGTTAAAAAATTTAACTTTTTCTCTCAGATGTATTATTAACAGATGTATAATATATATGACAGAATATATGTACCTACAACAAATGAAAGGGGAAGATTAAAGCTTAAAATATCTTTTTTTACATTACCATAGTTCAGAAATTTTAGGTAGTTACCTACATTAATGTAATTTCTTACCCTTTTATGTACCCATTCACACACAAGTATGTAATTAAATTTACAAACAAAAATACTTTTGTGGTACAGAATGAATCTGGCACCCGACACAACCTCACAATCTTTGCGATTTTTGCAATCTCATAAACTGCAACTGCATTGTAAACTAAAACCTACTTGTGGACTCTGAAAGCTGCACCAAGAACACTACAAAGGGCACAAAACTCAATCTGCTGGTTTAGAATTAAGTAAAAATTTTTGGATGCTAACTTTGTACCAGCTGGCTTTTCCTGGGTTAAGTGTAATTTCTCCTCACAGAGCTAAAACAAAACCTTAAAGCTGGTTTAAACTCCCTACCAAATTTGGTGGTATTTCAGTACTTGAACTAGATAAAATTTGACATCCCTGCCCAAAGCAGGGGGGTGGGACTAGATGATCTTCAAAGGTCCCTTCCAACCCAAACCATTCTATGATTCATTCTATGATTCTGTTATATCATACGGTGACCTGCTGCAGAGCAGATAAAATGTTAAAGGTCATGAATTTCCAACTCCAGACACATCCCTGCAAAATAGTCAAAAGGTCTGATCACAAAAGATGTCTGCAAAGTTCACCACAGAAAAAGGCCTTGCCTCATTATCACACCTAGCACACCTCCTTTCCGAAGGCTTGATACTAATCAAATAGAGAAAAGAACAAGAGGTAGTTCTAGTTCCCTAGAACAAAACAAAACGAACAAAAAACAACAAAAAACCACTAAGAAGCACAGTATATTAAAGGGAAGTCAGAGCAAAAATTGGACAACAATAGCAAGTTAACAGCACAATGTATTACAGTACTTACCCTCACCAACCTCAAAGTCCTTGAATGCGAGTTCTGAACCTGAGTCATCAAGCAGGATTTCACCATTTAAGGTGAACATCATAGTGTGCTCATTCATATCAACCATACATCCAACAACATCTCCAGCCAACCAAGAGCGGCCAAAATGCTCATTACCTTGATGCCACCGCTGTGCCTGAAAAGGATTTAAAAGAATTTCAAAGAGTAATACTGACAATGTATGTTTTCCTCTCTCCCCTAGTGGTATAGCTAATAATTAGCGGCCTCAATTAAGACAGCACTAAAATTAATACTTTCACAGCATATCATTCCAAAACAATGCCTGTGAGTACTCTAAGCTGACTTTGAAAATGGAAATCCAACAATTAACTTTCTGCAAGCACTCCTCACATCAGTATTGTAAAACATTGCTAAGTGAGCTGACAGGGAAAAATGCTATTTCAACATTTTAGTAACATGTAAGAACATGGCTTATTTCTCTGCAGAAGCTCTGTTAAAGACCCGTAATGCAAATGATATGCTATCAATTACAATGTCAAATAGCTGCTTCAAAAACACTTTTTAAGCAATTGCTTTTATTTAATGTAGTATCCTACAAACTCAATTGTTTTTATTTACTCTAGCAGCCTACAGACTCATTGCTTCCAAACAAATTTTACTGTTTCCTTAACTATAATTTTTAAAATGTTATGTTGCGTACAAAATAAATTAAACTTCCTATCATATCAGATTTTGGAAGGAACAGAATTGTCTGTGGATGGGACAAGCACTCTGAGCTTCTGATAGATTCCAGAATAGCTGAGGGCATGATTTGTATGACTGACCTTACTACAAAGGCTTTGGATGGGGTCTTGGATTGGAATTCAAATAAATAAACATCTATTAAGAACTACTGAAACAGGCATGAAACAAATCAGTGTTAATAAGTTTGTTATTCATATATTCCATCACAAATAGATTTTTATCCTTTGTATCCATCCTGAAAATCCTACAAAACAAATAAGCCTTTCTGGGTATCCCGAAGGTCAGAATCTTTTCTCCAACCAAGGAGAGAACCCATCAAAATCAAAGACAAGAAATTCCTTTGTGGATTGAGACCTAAAGGTCAAAACCTAAGATATAGAAGGCAAACTTCTACACAGCTATTCTAGTAAAGACACAGGACTTTAATACTTCACTTAAGCCAATTGGATACTTTACAGAAATTTTTCAGTTCTCTTTGTAAGGCATCTTCTCATGTAACACAAGACTGGAAAAAAAATATAAATTCCAACAACTTGAATAAAATATATCTTGAGAGCTTGACCTGATCAGGAACAGCCAGGAATACTGTTGATTTCTGTTACATATTGTAATAGTAATAAAGGAAATTATCCCCAACATCAGATACAAGAAACATTTTGACAATGGTTATCAGTAGCCTTAATAGCAATTATGGTTTGGATAGAGGTAGCACTTACCTTCATACTGAAATAAAAAGTTTTAATGAGTCATTTAATCTATTCTGATTAAAATCAGTAACATATAAAATAGTTTGTTTTCCTATGTCTTTTTACTACTAGATTTCAATCTATCATTGTCTCATGCAGAGTTAAATTTCAGCAAAAATTACTGGTTCTATCATACTTCATTTACTCTACACTGTAAGGATTTCCATTAAAACCTAGGTATATACTTTTTAGCTTTTACATTCCTATTAAAAAACCCCCTCCTATCAAAGTTTGCCTCAAACACTTACTTCTAATAATCTAAACCATATTTACTCCCCAACAGCACTTCTTAGAGAGAAAACAACAGAGTAAAAATTTAAAGACATTATTCATAGTTAATTATAGCTCTACCGGTATTTTGAATTTCAGTAAGTCACTTAAATTTCCAGTGCTTTCTATATACTGTACAAATACTGTGAAGCTGTGAAAAAAAATTATAGGCATGTCACACCCTGCTAATTAATTTTTCAGGTGACATTGATCCTCCTTATTCCATCCATGCCCTCAAAGAGAGAGAGAAAAAAATTTTAGAAAATGAACATACAAATGAAAGAAGAGAAGGCAACTAAGTTGATGGAATGACGCATGGAATAAGACACAAAATTAGAAGTTTTGCAATCACTCGTATTATTACAGATAAACACATACAAACCTTAAAGCCATCAAAAACAAAAGCTTCTTCATCTGAGCCAAGTTCCTGATCTGGCAGACAACCCGGCCTGGTCCAGCCAACTCTCATGTCTCCTGCAGTAACTGCCTCAAACTCAAAGTACCACTTCCCAGCCTTCACTGCGTAAGTCTTTTCAGTGCGGAAGATCCTGAATTTTTCCATTATCCCACTGCACACGTCCAGTCTCATTGCTGTAAGATTTAAAAGAAATTTAAAAGTAAAGGAAAAAAACCCAACATGGAAAGTACTGTATTCAACTACTGACAAAATGAAGGCAGTGAAAAAAGGCAAAGAGATCCCTTTGAGCATAGGCACGCAAAGAAGAAAGTGTCTGCAGAACAGCCTTATGGGCAAAGTGCCCTTGCCCATTCTGGGGAATCAGCATACGCAGGTGC